GTTGCAACTTCCATGTTCTTTTTGCTAACCACTCCTACATTTGGCTTTGTAAAATCCCACGCGTAACATAATTTACTACTCAATTAGCTCCTCAATATGATATTAAACAAGGCAAGAAATAACATTGGAGAACTTGACATACTACTACTTAACGGCATTCATAAAAATAAAAAATAAAATAAAAATAAAATAAAAAAAAAGTGGGATTTTCCTTAGGCATAGAGCCTAGCCTTGTAATAATTAAATCTCATTTTATTAACACATTAACAATATTAAGCTTGACATAATTTTACAATGATAGAAGGTATTTAAAATAATATATTAAAATAATATAAAAAGAAATACACTCACGTATAATATTATTATTAGAATCATCTAAATATGTAATTTCAAAATATCAATTTCTTATAAGACAAGCAAGATCTTTTCTATTATAGATCATAAAGGGGTAAAAATGGTAAAATATATACAATTGGTTTAAGATGGATTAATGACGCGACATTTACTATTGCATTATTTTAGTGGAAATAGGTACTTTAGAAATCGTGAATGAAATACAGGTAATTTAGAAATCGTGAATGAATAATACTTCGTATTTAGTAAACTTTATTCTTAATTATTTTCTTTATTGATTCTTTTTTATTTAATTGTATGATCCATGAATTAAGGTGTCTGGTCTGTATTGGTATTGTGCATGCATTAACAAAATTTTTTGTAAAAAAACCATTTTGCTGGTACCTATGTTTATATTGTTCATGGAATTGAATACCAAAATTTTGTAAAGAAACTATATTTTGATTTGTCATTCTATGAGTTATTTTCCCAATAATTTTGAATCTTTAGGCTTTGCATGACGGATTCAAATTTACTTTTTCTATAGTTTAAATAATGTATTTTGTTTTTAGGCTCCAGTAAATCTCAATAATGTGATATCATTATATTTTATTTTATTTTTAAATCTTTGCTAGCTCAGTAAAGAATTCATAAATATTAATAAAATATCCATTGTTGTTAGGAACTTAGAATTATAAAAAGACCTTACTTTAATCATTAAGTAAAAGGGAAATTTAATATTAAAGTTTATTTATATAAGTACATATTATAGTATAAGATCACAAATATATAAATATCAGAAAAACAAGAATGATTGCCCCTTTATTTTATTTTAAAATAAATGAGAATCAACTTAATCACGTGTCGTCGTTCTTAAACAACATCTCTTATGGGTCATGGACCTCTTCAAAGTGGTCGTTTGGAGGTAAGGGGATGGATAATTATCAGCGCATAGCAGCTATTGGCAAGGAATGCCTATAGGATGGCATTCTTTGTAAATAGGTTGAAGTTGTGTAGGGACAAGGTGTCAGGTGGTAGAAAAAAATAATGGGGCAAAGATAGTGAAAACGGGGAAACCAAAATCTAAGCGGGAAACCAAAATGAAGTCTGACAAAGCAACTTTCCTCTTTCTTCCCAAAGCAAAGTGTTACTGTTCAACGACATTGAAATTAAATTGAAGGCATTGAAATCCTTTCCCTGGTGCACTAAAGCCACTAAAATGTCGTAAATTTGACATTGGAAATTGAGGATGAGAACGAGGTTAGCTGACATTCTTGGCATGGATTTACTTGAAGCAGTTGGGGACGGTGGAGATGACGGACATGGCTACGCTAGGGAGCTGCGATTTGATTGTGAAAATGTAAGTTTCGTACATGCATTATTGTAATTATTCGGTTTGAAGGTAGATTTGAATTTAATTTTTATGGCTTAGTCTTTATATTGGTATTAATTTTGGAAATGGAAAAGTGTGATGTAGTTGTTTGTAGATGGTTAGCAGTTCATTTGTGAATCCGAACTACATTTTGACAATGCAAAATCGGTTAGCTGCTGATTTATTGAGAGTTGATTTAGCGGAAGCATTGCATGAAGGTGGTGAAGAAGGCCATGGTTGCGCAAGGGAGTTGCGGTTTGATAGTGAGAATGTAAGTGTTCGAAACCCCTATGTAGGTCGTTCTATTGTGTATGAGGTATTTGTTTGAGTTAACAGTTAGTAAAGAATGAAGTAAGGGAGTAAACAAAATTGAATTAGTTGAAAAGTTAGGGTTTTTTGGTGTCTCTCAATTATTGGTATCGTTTCAATTTATAGTTGTTGTTGATAGTGATTGTGTTAGGGCTTAAATAAGTTAACATATTATTTAAATGTAAGTCTTTTTTTGAGCAATTGTTGTTGGTATTGTTAGATCGTTGATTGTAACCTGATCAATTTAGGTGAGTGTGGTTAATCTGTGTTGTGTACCTTGGAATTTGGAGTAAGTTGAAATTAATATTGAGGGTTGTCTTTAAATTCTGAAATTGATACTTGGAAAATGGTTGATCATTGGTATGATGATTTCTGTAGCCATGAAAATGATGTTATGTATAATGTAGATATTGTACTTTGTTACTTGTGGTGGTGTTGTGTATATGATTGTTTTATGGCTGTGTCATTGTTATAGGGGGGTGAGGTGGTGAGGATGATGTATGTGGTAATGAGGAGGGTTTGAGAGTGAGCATGGGTATGGAGAAGGAGATGAGGAGGAGAATGAACAGGGATTAGAAGATGATGGAGAGGAATGGGGGTCAGATTATGAGGAAGTTGAAGTGGAGGAAGGAGTTAAAGATGAAGGAGTTGAAAATTAAGGGTTATAAATGAGTATTTGAATTGGGTAATTATGAAATGTAGACTTCTTTTAATTAGATGATGAAGATGTTTGGATTAGGACCCTTTGTTGTAAATTTGATATGAACTTTAATTCATGTAATTGAGTAAGTAAATGGTTGATTGGTAATGTTAAATTGTCATAATCTTTTATATGAAAGTAGATTGTTCATTGTTATTTGATAAAATGGGTGTTGTAGTTGAGTTGATGAAATTTGTTTAACGTATTGTAAGTTTTTGGGAATGTGTTGGTTTAAGAATGGTATGGAGTGAAGGATGAGTTGTTGCTAATTGTATGAGTTATTGTCAAGCCTGTTTGTGTTATAAATTGTACAAAAAAAAAAAAAAAAAAAAAAAAAAAAAGCTTTGAACTTGTTATTTATCGAACTAGTTGCTATTAAAGAAGGTAAAAAAAAAAGTTTTCTTATGAATTATGTGATCATATAGCTTGTTGGGTTTGGTGTTGTCGTGTATGTTTTTGGTTATTGGTTGTTTGTTGTAATGTTGTATTTTCAATGAGTCATGGTTGTGTATGTGAATTAGGTGGATGTTGCTGATGGATATGAAGATGGTGGGGTGATAAGTATCATTTATGTCACTATTTTTTAGCAGTTTCTAGTTAGTTTTTCATTGTTTTGATTTCTTTTTTCTTGGTTTTAATAAGGTTTTATTTCATTTGTCGTGTTTGCATGTGAAATGTCATTGTTGATCAATTTTGGCTTTACTTGCATATTTTTGGTTGCTTCTTGCATTAGATTAACCTTTATTGGTTTATTCTTATGTTTAGAAACTCTTGGATAAGTTCATTGCTCAAGATTGAAGAAATATAAAACATAAAAGAACAAGTAACGAAAAAATGTGCACTTGATTTGCAACAATTGAACTTAAAACGCCTATATCTTTTGATATACAAAATATTTCTGAGTGATTCTAATTGGAGATGAAAGCTTATCTTAAGAGCTTTCCAATGACTGGTGACATGCCTAATTCTGACGAGTAACGAAGAAGTTATAGCCTTCCAAAACGAAACTGCTTCTAACAGGAAAATCTGCATGCCCGTGCTAAATGCGGCACGTCCGTGCAGGCCTGTGCTCCGGTGTTCTGAAGTGTGTGCTCAGTATGCACGTCCGTGCCAACTTTGGCACGTCCGTGCAGACCTGTATCCGAGTCTTTTTCCTTGTTATCTCCGTCCTTTCTATTTGGGGTTGTATAAATACCCCTTGGCTTCATTTGTAAAAGAGAGATATTCCATTCTTAAATTTTAGTAGTTTAGGGTTTTAGTGAGAGAAATTCTCAATTTTTAGAGAGAGAAAGTGAGATAAAAACAATGGTTTTCATGGATTTTGGATAATCAAAGGAGGAATTTGATGATTTGAAGATCTCCATTTTATATCAATGAGCATTTCTTACTCTTTTTTCTCTTTATGCTTTATTTAATTGCTTTCACCATGTTTGAGTAGTTTCCCTTCTACTAGGTGTTGAGTGAAGCTTTGTAATGATTAATTGAGTTATTTGAGATAAATTTGATGATAATTGTGTGATTAAATTGATTGAATTGACGATGGCATGTTGTTTGTTTTAGATTGGATTGATCTCCCATGATAGAAAACTTATGCATATTGGTTCTAGTTTGACAAGGGATTGTGAATTAGAATTGATATATTTGGTTACATTTTAGGTAAATTTCTTCTATCATCCTAGTCAATGAGGGATCTAGGCTAGGAATTTGAGAGATTACTTTTGAGTGTAGTTAATTCCCATTTTAATTCTTTCTTTGCATGATTGATTATCAAATGGATACTCATTTGCTTATTAATTGTTCAAAGTGGATCTTTTCCCCTAGTAGACTTTATCATACCTTGTTCTTTATATGTGTTTTAGTGTAGTTGTAATGTCCTCTATCCATAAACCGTCTTCGGCATAGATTAAGCATTAGATCAAGAACAATCTAGCATTACCGTTCCTTGTGGTTCGACTCCGAACTTACCGCAAGACTTGTTTAGGGGTTACTTTTAGGATTTATAAAATTTATTTGACCGTTAGGAGGTTAGTCAACAACCTAATTTCCCCGCATTCATGGGCAGATGATGTATCAGTTTATGAGGAGGGATTAGAGAGTGTGGGATTAGTGAGTGATGATGGATTAAGAGAAGGTGAGGTGTAGGAGGATGAAGAGGGGGAAGGGTTTGAGGTTAAGGATAAGGGGGCAGTTTACGAGGAAGATGAAGTTGAGCCTGGCATTGAAGGGGAATTTGATAGGGCTGGTGCATAAGGTTCATCATTCATAACCCCAAATAAGAACACGATAATGGTGCACACTGTGTTTGATGTGGAAGAGGAAGTACCACCCACAAGTTTGGGCATGGTATTTGGGAGTTGGGATGAGTTGGATACCAATTTCTGGAGTTATGCTAGGCAAAAGGGTTTTGGTATAGTGAGGGCTACTTTTGGGTGGGTGGATGTGAAGAAGGAATTGGAAAAGGGGAAGTGTTGTAAGCAGAGAAGGAATGCAAAGTGGACTTATGACTGTTATGGTTACGCTTCAAGGAAGCGTAAACAGGATGCACTTAAGGAAGGGTTGTTGCAAGATGAGGAGACAGTTCAGAAACGGAAGACTAAAAAGTACGGGTGTCCTGTGGAGTTGTATGCCAGTGTTAATGAGGAAAGGAACTGGGTTGTTCGAAGGCTGAATTTGGAGCACAAAGGTCACATTGTTACTCCGGGAAAGTCAAAGGATGTAGCGATGTACCAGAAGCACGAGTTAATGGTGAAAAACAATCACTTGGTCAAGCAGGTGCATACGGCGAAGAAGTCTAAGGTGAAGGTATACCAAATGTACAGCTGTTATGATCGGGAGCATAATGGAGTGGAGGAGATGACATTTACACAAAGAGACTTAGAGAATGTAGTGGCTCAAAAAACTAGACTTGAGCTTACTGAGGGTGATGCAAATGGCATGATAGAGTACTTCAACAAAATGTGTGTCGACAATCAGAATTTTTTCCATTTATGTCGGTTTGGGAAGGATGGGGCATTACAAGATGTTGTGTGGGTAGATGCGAGGAGTAGAGCTGCGTATGAGGAGTTTGAAGATGTTGTGTGCTTTGACAGTACGTATTTGACAAACAAATTTCACCTTCCCTTTGCTATGTTTATCGGTGTGAACCATCATGGGCAGAGTATTTTGTTTGGGTGTGCATTGATCTCTCGGGAGACGACGGAGACCTATGAGTGGATGTTGAGGACTTGGCTACATTGCATGGGGGGTAGAGCTCTTATCTAAATCCTAACGGATCAAGATCCGGCGATTAGGAAAGTTGTAAACTTGACTATGCCTGAGAGTTGCCATAGGTGGTGCATATGGCACATACTTGAGAAGTTTGGGAGGTATGTGGGTAAGCATGAGGACTATGAAGTTGTAAAGGATGAGTTTGAAAATATCATTTATGGTAGTTTAGATGCTAATGAATTTGTAGATCGTTGGGTGGACGCAGTAGATTATTACAAACTAGGAGATAACAGTTGGCTTGAAGGTACTGCACTTTCATTTCTTCCCATTTTTTGTGATTGTTGCTGATTTCTGTTAGAATATGCAGAGGTATAGCTATCTGTGTGCAGGGGACTGGAAGTTGTTTCAGTTCTGATTTAGGGTAGGAGAAGGTTTATTGGTAGACTTTTGTACCAATGAATGTTTTTTGTTGCAAGTTTCTTAGCTGTGGCACAATTCTGAGACAGTGAATGTACCATTCACAGGAGTCCAGGTGTATGAGGTTTGTATGTTTTTAGATAAGCCATTAATTGCAATTATTTGAAATGTAGAGCTGTATGAGGAAAGGCATATGTGGATCCCAACCTATTTGAAGCATTTATTCTTGGCCGGGATGAGAACGACCTAACATTCTGAAAGTTTCAATCACTTCTTCAAAGGTTATGTTGACAAGCATACAACGTTGTCTAAAATATGCTTTGATACTGCGATGCAATGCAGATAAGGGCCGAGTCAGAAAGAATTTCGAACTCCAACACACTACGGCACATCAGGCATGTAGCTACCGATTTCCCAGCGGAGGAAATGTTCCAGAAGTGTTACACGGACGACAAATTCAAAGAAGTTCAACAGGAGTGCAAGAGGATGTTGTACGTGCGTCGCTTAGATGACTATGAAGTTGGTGAGAATCAAGTTGAGTTTTTTATTGAGGACCGAGTGTGGATCAAGCCAAAATATGAAAAAAAAGAATATGTGACTAAGACTCGGAGATGCTACAAGGTGTGCTATGTCAGTAATACATATGAAGCTAGTTGTGACTGTAAACACTTTGAGTGCCATGGAATCATTCGTTGAAATATGATCTTTATGTATGACCATTGCGGTGTTTCTTTTGTTCCTGAGAAGTATATTCAACGTCGTTGGAGGAAGGATATTCAAAGGAAACACACACGAGTGAAAGTAGCTTACCGATGAAGCTACTTAAAACCGATGAAGCCAGGCAATATCACAAATTCATGGGGATGTATGAACCAATTTTCTCAAAGGCTTCAGCTTGTAAAGAGGGTGTTGAGGTTGTGGCATAGTTGTTGCAATTGATGGACCTCAGAGTCAATGAAGTGTTGGCAATGGTTGCCAAAAAATAGGAACAGACAGCTAAGGATAATGAAAACGAAGGATAGGATGATGGCGTACATTGTGTTTTTCGGACGCCTTCTTCTATGGCTTTGAATAAGGGGCTTGGTTGTGCAAATACACCATCCACATATGCATCTGGGTTCCCAAATACAATCCCTACACCATTTAGTGCCTTTGTGGGGAGTTGTGATGGATCCGTACCAGCAGTGATTAGGGATCAACCGTTGCCCAAGAAGAAGGCCCATCGTACAACCAATGTAAGGTATCCATCTTGCACAAAGAAAAAGGGAAAAGAAAAGGCTGCTAGGGTAAAAAATGCAGCAAAGAATTAGGCTGCAGCGGCACAGAACAATATTTCATTGTCAACGAATGACTATGTACGATCGGTTGGAGGGATTTAAATGAGGGATATGGATGGTTCCGTAGGGTACTTCACTTCTATTAGGGGAACAAATTCTGGTGGTTTTTTTACAGGTGTACTAGGTACTCCTAGTACATCAGGTTCCAATCACTTGTAATGTAATCGATTCAACTGGTTGATTAATGCGTTGGAATGTATTTGTTTTTTAAATATGTTACAGTGGTACACTTATCGTGCATGAACTGTACCATTAGGCAGTTATCTTCATGTGTTGAAAATAGAGGTGGTTACATGAATAGTTTCCTGTGAATGTGTACCTTATGATTCGCAGATTGATCTTGTAATCAGGGTGGTACATTCTCAGCATATGTAGGGTTTGACGGTCAGAGTAGACGTTGTCAGAGTTCATATCCATATTGATCTATTCTTTTGTTGTTGCTGTTGTAAACTTTTGTTCTTGTTGTTCTGTTTATATGTCCTGAATTTTTTCTTTTGTTACAACGTAAACTAATATAGGTTTGTTTGATTATGAAGTAGCTGAGAATAATACAGCTAACAATGTAAACTACTATGTTTGTGTGTGTTGTTCTGAACTGTAAACCATATTATTATATACAATAGAAACATAAATTTAAAAAATCATAATCTGCAAGTTAAAAAAAGAAATGTCATTATACAGATAATATGTATCATACATGACGGATGAGTAGACCATGTACTATTGTATAAAATACGCTTATTTCCCTAACGCATTTACAAGTTAAACAAGATATTGTATTTTCAGCATCCTCAACATAAAGACCAGCCCATGCAAATAAGTTCTTCTCGTGTTGTAGTTTTTGTTTGCAAAATAATTGCGGCTGTGGCATATAATCTACAACGAACTTATTTATCATCCAATTTGACCTCGCCATGTCACGTAACTTGATAGTGTTCTGGACGATCCTTGCAGATCCGATGCTGTTGATAGTGTTCTCCAAAAGCTTAACACCTTTTTCTTCTTCTCCAGTGTATATATGTATGAGGCTTACTATATATGTTGCCTCTGTATTTTGCAATGCAGTTGCTCTTTCCAACCTCTTAAACCCTTCGTCTACCACCATATAGTTGAAGTATTGTCGCTACAGTAGCGTAAAATAGAAAAAATTTAACAATTATCAATAGCTTTTTAATAATATTATAATGAAAAAATTGTCAAGTAATAAGAAAGAAGCGTTACAAATCCAAACTCAAGCAGAGCTTCAGGATGTTCATTCTCCACGCACTTCGTGAAGAATGTGTCTGGCTCTTCTCGGTGTGACCACCTTCGTGTTTGAATCCGAGGGAGGTGAATTTGTTGAAGGACCCTTTTTTCTTCGGCTATCCTTCGTAGGGTCTTGCAACTTTTATCATGTCATACGCCAGAAATTACATTATTAAAATCTTTGTATATAGGGGGATGAGAAACATAGTTCAAATTATAAGTAAAATGAAATCCTACCTTATTTTGCACCGAAATAAATCTGCAGGAGATGACTTAGCAACGCAACACAGAATGGTCGCTAACACTTCCGACGAAAGAATGTTAACCATGGAAGTTGAAATTTTTCGCCTTTTTGCTAATACATCCATGTTTTTTTGGCGTTTTTTTTGAATCTTACCTCTGTTTATTGGAATAGAAGGAAGTGAGTTATTTTTAAATCTTTGTTTAACTTTGAAAATGTTTGAGATAAGTAACTTAGTTAGTGAAATGCCTTATATATAGACTGTAAAATGACAGTTCCCATTCAAGGGAGTGGATGTAGTGGGTTGGAGATGTAATGATGGTGGTTAATCAATGCTAATGCAAATGATGATTTAGTGGGGGAGATAAATAAATCCCAGACCCTTCACTTCAATTCGTCATTTCAACGCATTCATATAATAATTAATGGTACATGTATTAAGCAATAAGTGTACCACTGAAATATGTTTGTGCTTATTACAAGCCAACTTTGTGTGATTTTATGTTTGTACTTGTAAGTGAAGTATACGTTATACTGATTACAATTTTAGGTATGGGATAATAAAAATTGAATAATGTGCTAATCTAGGATGCATGGGCACTTCGTCCAACAGCCGTGTCCGTGTCCGACACGAGTGTCAGACACCGACACTCGTTCGACACACGACGGACACACATAAAAACTCTTATTGTCAATCTTCTGAATTAGAGCATACATAGCTGAGAATTGATCTCCAAAAACCAAAAATAAGTCCCATATTTTTATGCTGAAATACGAAGAAGAATAAAAACGGAAAAAAAAAGTAGCACCACATTTGCATTTGTCGTTACATGTTGGAATTTCCTGTGCTATGACTAAAATGATGTGGTGCGACAAGAAGATAGGATTTACAGGATATACAGAAGCAAAATACGTAAAAAAAGAAAAGAGAAATTGTCGCGACACCACAAGATTGTCACGCACGCTGACTACTGTCGTACCCTAATAATATTATTGTCGTGACACAATAATTTTGTCGTATCAAGACAACTTTTGTCATGACGTGGCAATATCCATGTCTACGGAGATGCATTTTAAAGTCAGTTTTATCATATGTGAAGGAAATTGATCTTTGATAGCTTCTTTTAGACGCATTTTTCCATTCCGAATTAATCCACAAAACTCGAATTAGGGTTAAAGTTAGGTTTGTGTGGATTGGATTTGGTAGCAAATGATGGAAAAATCTTAAAACGGAGGTAAGGAAAGGGCTTGGATGGATGTTTGGGATAATAAGGAATTGGATTAGGTGGATTAAAATAAAAATGGGTTGAGTCAAAGAAAGAAATTCAAGCAATTCTAAGATCTAATGGGTAACCTGACCAAGTTAATTATACCCTCACGTAACTACTATAAGCTAGAACAAAACAAATACCTTTTCTCTTTTCTATATAAATGCAATATTTTTTTTTTTTAAAAAAGAAGCATTAATACTTTAATTTCTTTCTCCTCAAAATTTTACCAACTTTTTCACTCCATTTTGTCTTTCCTAAAACTGCAAAATATCTCTAATTTCTGTCAAAATACTCTCATATCTCAACCAAAATATTAGATTTAAGTGATGAAATCTCGAATGAATTCTTCAAAAGAAAGGTGAAATATTGTAAATTACACAAATCATAATTATTTATGTCCTTTAAATAGTAAGTATCTAGGAAGACTTTGTTGTATTGTCCATTTCTTAGTCGAAGTTTCTTCTTATTTGAAGTAAAAAGACTTTTTTTTGTTCAAATTAACATATTTGCCAGCCAGCTCAATATCATATGTTTTTTGCATTA